ATAAGTAATAAATTTTCTAAATGAATTGAATAAAATTTATCGCATCGATTTCTTTTTTTAATTCATTTCCTATTAATCATTTTTAACATTATAAAATTCAATAATTTGCTATCTTTTCTATTACTTATGTTACAAGAGAATTTAAATAGTTATTTTTAAGAAATTAAGTAAACCTTTGTTGTCCAAGTGCAGGTTGATACCAATTAATAGGACATGGTGAGCATGGTTCCAAACCTGTTAATGAGAAATGACCAGCTGGACATGGAAGTTTGCATTGTGATGGACCAGTGGAACCTAATTTTGCTGTATATGAGCCCTATAAATTTATGAACCATTAATTTTAACTTTAAATTAGTAAATTTTAAATTATATTACGATATTTGCAATATTGTACAAAAAAAAAATGACAAAAATTAGAAACTGAAATTCGAATAACAAAATTATCCTTTTCCATAAAAAAAAGCGACAATAAATTTTCTCTTTTTTTTTCAATTTTAAATCAATGTACAAGTAAATAATTGGTTATTTTTAAATTATATACTTAAAGTTTTAATTTTTAAAATTTTAAATTATATTACCTGTGGACACGGTTCACATCGCTTATAGCCACCAAATGTCGGAGGACCAGCAAAAGTATGTCGAGGACATAAATGACAAGGAATTAAACCTGTTTCACTATACATACCATTTCCACAAACAGCTATAAAAATATATTCATTATCATTTAATTTTTTTTTTTCATATTTAGAAGAATTTAAATTAAACATTTTGAAATTTCTTGATAGCAAAATAAAATAATAATAACGTACGAAGACAAGCATTGAATGTTTGAGATCCAGAAAATTGTGTGGAAGTTTGTTCCGGGCATGGTTTACAAGTTATTTGAGCTACTTCATCCTGATAACTTCCAGCAGGACATAATTCACAAGTGTTATTGATATGAACTGTTCCTTTTGGACATTGTACTAAATTCAAATTAAATTCATTAGCAAAATTTTTAATTTGAAGTCAAATTTTTTAAAATTTATATATTTCCAATTATAATGAATATTTATGTGCAACATTGTTAATGTTAAAGATATTAGAAATATTTATAAATTAGAAAGATTATAAAATATTTAGCATAAAAAAGTTCTTACATTTTTTAGAATAACTTTTTTAGAATAAAATATATACGTACAAATTACTCTTAAACGTACAAATGATAATTTATAAAAATAAGGAAATTTAAATGAATTTTAATAATTTCAAATAAACATACAACATTCAGGTAATGTTTCCGCATTGCCTTCTCGTAAAATTTCACCATCCGCACATCCGAAACCTTGAACAACAACAGTTTTTGTTGCATTCATCGATGGACAACCAACTGATTGTGTTGCAATTGTTTCACCATTTACATAAAGAAGATTTTGAACAGGTGTGGTAG